ATTGCCAGCTTTGCTTCCTGCTAAAATTGGGTGACATATCATAATTGAACTACTCTACGTGTGCCAAATAGGGTTATTCTCTAAACACCAAAACTAAGGCTAAAATACCCAGCCAATGCTATAAATGGTCTGGATAATTCTCCCTAATCAGTTTTCATAGCCTCAGTCTTGCTATTTGGATTCAATTCAATAGAACTGACAGCGTTATTTACTAAACTCTAAATTGTAATAATTTAAATTGAAAATCGGCTGGAAAGATAAAGGCTAAACTAGCCGAGCATTGACTAGAGCTGAGTGGAACTGATCCTGGTAGGCAATTTTAGCCTTAGTGTTGTCATTCAGATTTCGATTCCCTATAATTCAGAGTTTACTGAATAACCCTGTAAGACACTGCCATCCGGCCTGTAATATGCTCAATATAGTCCTTAAAGGACCACTATAGGCAGAGAAACTACTATGTTTACACTGCAGGGTTAATCCAGCTTCTAGTTGCTGTCTCCCTGACAGCCACTAGAGGGCGCTTCCACGATTTTCAGTGAGTAAAAAAAGATGGGTTTGAATGCGTGCGCGCTTCTGGCCGCGCATGCGCATTCGGCTCTACTCGGAAGCTGACGTCGGCAGAGGAGGAGGAGAGGTCACCAGCGCCAAGGGAGCCCAGCGCTGGATTAAGGTAAGTGGCTGGAGGGGTTTTAACCCCTTCAGCGCCAAGGGAGGGTGGCACTTCAAGAGCCTATAGTGCCAGTAAAACTGGTTTGTTTTCCTGGCACTATAGGATCCCTTTAAACAATTACTCTAAGGCTAAGCACCAATATCTCTTCTGCAGGACCAGTAAGTGGGCAAAGTGCAATACTTTTCCTTGACACCAGGTGGGGCTCTTGCAATACAGTTAAAGTTAAAGCAGTTTTCATTTCTTAAAGGGACACTATTAGCATTACAACAGCTTAGTTTAATTATTATTATTATTATTATTATTGCCATTTATATAGCGCCACCAGATTCCGTAGCGCTTTACAATATTATGAGAGGGGGGATTTAACTATAAATAGGACAATTACAAGAAAAATAAAACTTACAGAAACAATGGTTGAAAAGGACCCTGCTCAAACAAGCTTACAGTCTATAGGATGAAGCCGTTTTGGTGTATAGATCATGCTTATGCAGTCTCACTGCTTAATTCTCTGCCAACGCAAACTTTAGATTAACCTTTTTTGGCCAAGACATTTTTATTGATATTTATTCTTATTATTTGGTATATATATACTATGCAGCATTGTACATTAGATGTACTAGAGGCAAATAAGATACAAGTGAATAGTTCAATGAGAGAGAAAACACACCTCGAGTGAGATGTAGTGGTTATAGTGCTTGGAGTGTTTCTTTGAAAACACATTTGCATACTGTCCAACATTTCAAATATTTCTAATAGACATAGAGTCACTTTAATTGTAGGGGTGAGAGTGGGTGTGTGGTTAGGGGTGGGGTTATTCTGAGTGGCGGTGTGGTCAGGAGCGGGGCTGTTCTAGGAAGTTTTAGGTGACTTACTAATAACAATTTATGAAACTAAAATGTAATTTAGAAGAAGAACAATGTATCAGACTGCTAAACATTTATTGCAGATTAGCGACACATTACTGGGAGTATTATTGCTGTGGAGCTCTGTTATACACTCAGATACATTACTGAGAGTATTATTAGTGTGGAGCTCTGTTATACACACAGACACATTACTGGGAGTATTATTGCTGTGGAGCTCTGTTATACACTCAGACACATTACTGGGAGTATTATTGCTGTGGAGCTCTGTTATAAGCTCAGACACATTACTGGGAGTATTATTGCTGTAGACTCTGTTATACACTCAGACACATTACACAGGAGTATTATTGCTGTGAACTCTGTTATACACTCAGACATTACTGGGAATATGCCTGTGGAGCTCTGGTATACACTCAGACACATTACTGGGAACATAATTACTGTGGAGCTCATTATGATCAGACACATTACTGGGGTGTATTGCTGTGGTGCTCTATTGCTTACTCAGACACATTACTGGGAGTATTATTGCTGTGGGTCTGTTATACACTCAGACACATTACTGGGAGTATTATTGCTGTGGGTCTCTGTTATACACTCAGACACATTACTGGGAGTATTATTGCTGTGGAGCTCTGTTATACACTCAGACACATTACTGGGAGTATTATTGCTGTGGAGCTGTGTTATACACTCAGATACATTGCTGGGAGTATTATTGCTGTGGAGCTCTGTTATACACTCAGACACATTACTGGGAGTATTATTACTGTGGAGCTCTGTTACACACTCGGATACATTGCTGGGAGTATTATCGCTGTGGAGCTCTGTTATACACTCAGACACATTACTGGGAGTATTATTGCTGTGGAGCTCTGTTATACACTCAGACACATTACTGGGAGTATTATTGCTGTGGAGCTCTGTTATACACTCAGACACATGCTAGGGAATGTGTGCTGTGGAGCTGTGTTATTCACTTAAGACACATTACTGGGAGTATTATTGCTGTGGGCCTGTGTTATTCATAAGACACATTACTGGGAATTATTGTGCTGTGGGGCTCTGTTGCCACCCAGGCACATTACTAGAATATTATTGCCAATGGAGCTCTGTTATACCTCAAAGACACATTACTGGATATTATTGCTGTAGACTCATTATACACTCAGACACATTACCAGGGTGTATTGCCTTGGAGCTCTGTTATACACTCAGACACATTACTTTGGGAGTATTATTGCTGTGGAAGTCTATTTGCTTCACCTCCAGACACGTACTGGAATATTATTGCTGTGGAGTCTGTTATACTCAGACACAGTAGAGTATTGTGCTGTGGAGCTCTGTTATACTCAGACACATTACTGGGAGTATTATTGGTGTGGAGATCTGTTATACACTCAGACACATTACTGGGAGTATTATTGCTGTGGAGCTCTGTTATACACTCAGACACATTACTGGGAGTATTATTGCTGTGGAGCTCTGTTATACACTCAGACACATTACTGGGAGTATTATTGCTGTGGAAGTCTGTTATACACTCAGACAATAATAATATGGAGCTCCTAGAAAAGAGGGATATTAGGATAGAAAAAAAGGGATTTGGGAACAAAATAGGGACTGTCCTTCATAAATAGGGACACTTTGAGGTTATGCATTTTTAGACCTGCGTTCAGCCTAATACAGCCCTGAAGTCAATGTTTGTGGCACACTTTAAAGGGACACTCCAGGCACCCAGACCACTTCTGCCCATTGGAGTGGTCTGGGTGCCAACTCCCACTACTCTTAACCCTGCAAGTGTAATTATTGCAGTTTTTAATAAACTGCAATAATTACCTTGCAGGGTTAATTCCACCTCTAGTGGCTGTCTATTAAACAGTCACTAGAGGGCACTTCCTGGATCATAGCACAGGAAACCTGTGCTAGAGCGTCGATGGCCGTCCTCACGCTCTGTGAGGGCCTATAGTTTGATTCCCTTTTCTGAAACCTGTAGTTTGAATGTCTGCCTTGATATCACTGCTGATCAGTAAAGTGATTTATAAGAAATACAATTAAATGTAGAAGCGAAGTCGTGTTCCCTCCTTTATCGGATGGCGCAGAGCGGGGTCATTAAGTGCGTTCCTTCATTTCAGAGCTTGCAGTAATGTCTTATCTCGGTAAAGGTTAGTGATCGTCATATTCCTAGGATAATGTTTTGCTAAGTGATCTCTGAGACTTTGAATATTAAATAAAAAGCCATTTATTATGCGTAGCTCCAGGAAACCTCCTAAATAGCTTCACTGCTTCGATCCGGAGGATGCTTCGTCTTCCGCTTTGATTCAGACAGGATGGAAACGTCTTTCTATGGAGAGGAAAGAACCACAGGACGAGTAGATCGTTCTAATAAATGTTTGTAAGTGACCTTTTCTCAAGGTAGAAGGTACTTATCGGGGGCCACACTGGTATCAACTATGGTACTTATATCAACTATGGTACTTATCAGCGGCCATGCCGGTATCAACTATGGTACTTATCAGCGGCCATGCTGGAATCAACTATGGTACTTATCAGCGGCCATGCTGGAATCAACTATGGTACTTATCAGGGCCATGCTGGAATCAACTATGGTACTTATCGGGGGCCACACTGGTATCAACTATGGTACTTATCAGGGGGCCACACTGGTATCAACTATGGTACTTATCAGGGGCCACACTGGAATCAACTATGGTACTTATCAGGGGGCCACACTGGAATCAACTATGGTACTTATCAGGGGCCACACTGGTATCAACTATGGTACTTATCGGGGGCCACACTGGTATCAACTATGGTACTTATCGGGGGCCACACTGGTATCAACTATGGTACTTATCGGGGGCCACACTGGTATCAACTATGGTACTTATCAGCGGCCATGCTGGAATCAACTATGGTACTTATCAGCGGCCATGCTGGAATGAACTATGGTACTTATCAGGGCCATGCTGGAATCAACTATGGTACTTATCGGGGGCCACACTGGTATCAACTATGGTACTTATCAGGGGGCCACACTGGTATCAACTATGGTACTTATCAGGGGCCACACTGGAATCAACTATGGTACTTATCAGGGGGCCACACTGGAATCAACTATGGTACTTATCAGGGGCCACACTGGTATCAACTATGGTACTTATCGGGGGCCACACTGGTATCAACTATGGTACTTATCGGGGGCCACACTGGTATCAACTATAGAAATTTACTTATGGATTACCACACTGGGTATCAACTATGGGTACTTATCAGGGGCCATTTTCCAGGAATCAACTATGGTACCATAAGGTGCCACACTGGTATCAGCTTATATATAGGTACTTATCCAAGCTGACCATGCTGGAATCAACTATAGTACTTATAAGATTTACCACACTGGTATCAACTATGGTACTTATCAGCGGCCATGCCGGTATCAACTATGTTACTTATCAGGGGCCATGCTGGAATCAACTATGGTACTTATCGGGGGCACACTGGTATCAACTATGGTACTTATCAGGGGCCACGCTGGAATCAACTATGGTACTTATCGGGTGCCACACTGGTATCAACTATGGTACTTATCAGCGGCCATGCCGGTATCAACTATGTTACTTATCAGGGGCCATGCTGGAATCAACTATGGTACTTATCGGGGGCACACTGGTATCAACTATGGTACTTATCAGGGGCCACGCTGGAATCAACTATGGTACTTATCAGCGGCCATGCTGGAATCAACTATGGTACTTATCGGGTGCCACACTGGTATCAACTATGGTACTTATCGGGGGCCACACTGGTATCAGCTATGGTACTTATCGGGGGCCACACTGGTATCAACTATGGTACTTATCGGGTGCCACACTGGTATCAACTATGGTACTTATCGGGGGCCACACTGGTATCAACTATGGTACTTATCAGGGGCCACGCTGGAATCAACTATGGTACTTATCGGGGGCACACTGGTATCAACTATGGTACTTATCAGCGGCCACACTGGTATCAACTATGGTACTTATCAGCGGCCATGCTGGAATCAACTATGGTACTTATCGGGGGCCACACTGGTATCAACTATGGTACTTATCAGGGGCCACACTGGAATCAACTATGGTACTTATCGGGGGCACACTGGTATCAACTATGGTACTTATCAGGGGCCACGCTGGAATCAACTATGGTACTTATCGGGGGCCACACTGGTATCAACTATGGTACTTATCAGGGGCCATGCTGGAATCAACTATGGTACTTATCAGCGGCCATGCTGGAATCAACTATGGTACTTATCGGGGGCCACACTGGTATCAACTATGGTACTTATCAGGGGCCATGCTGGAATCAACTATGAAAGGTACTTATCAGGGCACACTGGGTATCAACTTTATGAAAGTGCACTTATCAGGGGCCGCGCTGGAATCGAAAGCTATGGTACTTATCAGGGCCACACTGGTACATCAACTATGGTACTTATCAGGGGCCGCGCTGGAATCAACTATGGTACTTATCAGCGGCCATGCTGGTATCAACTATGGTACTTATCAGCGGCCATGCTGGAATCAACTATGGTACTTATCGGGGGCCACACTGGTATCAACTATGGTACTTATCAGGGGCCATGCTGGAATCAACTATGGTACTTATCAGGGGCACACTGGTATCAACTATGGTACTTATCAGGGGCACACTGGTATCAACTATGGTACTTATCAGCGGCCATGCTGGAATCAACTATGGTACTTATCAGCGGCCATGCTGGAATCAACTATGGTACTTATCAGGGGCACACTGGTATCAACTATGGTACTTATCAGCGGCCATGCTGGTATCAACTATGGTACTTATCAGGGGCACACTGGTATCAACTATGGTACTTATCAGCGGCCATGCTGGAATCAACTATGGTACTTATCAGCGGCCATGCTGGAATCAACTATGGTACTTATCAGGGGCACACTGGTATCAACTATGGTACTTATCAGCGGCCATGCTGGAATCAACTATGGTACTTATCAGGGGCACACTGGTATCAACTATGGTACTTATCAGCGGCCATGCTGGAATCAACTATGGTACTTATCAGCGGCCATGCTGGAATCAACTATGGTACTTATCAGGGGCACGCTGGTATCAACTATGGTACTTATCAGCGGCCATGCCGGTATCAGCTATGGTACTTATCAGGGGCCATGCTGGAATCAACTATGGTACTTATCAGGGGCCATGCTGGAATCAGCTATGGTACTTATCAGGGGCCATGCTGGTATCAACTATGGTACTTATCAGGGGCCACGCTGGAATCAACTATGGTACTTATCGGGGGCCACGCTGGAATCAACTATGGTACTTATCGGGGGCCACACTGGTATCAACTATGGTACTTATCGGGGGCCATGCTGGAATCAACTATGGTACTTATCAGGGGCCACACTGGTATCAACTATGGTACTTATCAGGGGCACACTGGTATCAACTATGGTACTTATCAGGGGCCATGCTGGAATCAACTATGGTACTTATCAGGGGCCACACTGGTATCAACTATGGTACTTATCAGCGGCCATGCCGGTATCAACTATGTTACTTATCAGGGGCCACACTGGTATCAACTATGGTACTTATCAGCGGCCATGCTGGTATCAACTATGGTACTTATCAGCGGCCATGCTGGTATCAACTATGGTACTTATCAGCGGCCATGCTGGAATCAACTATGGTACTTATCGGGGGCCACACTGGTATCAACTATGGTACTTATCAGGGCCATGCTGGTATCAACTATGGTACTTATCAGGGGCCATGCCGGTATCAACTATGGTACTTATCAGGGACCACGCTGGAATCAACTATGGTACTTATCAGGGGGCCACACTGGTATCAACTATGGTACTTATCAGGGGCCACGCTGGAATCAACTATGGTACTTATCAGGGGCCACGCTGGAATCAACTATGGTACTTATCAGGGGCCACGCTGGAATCAACTATGGTACTTATCAGGGGGCCACACTGGTATCAACTATGGTACTTATCAGCGGCCACACTAGTATCAACTATAAGTACTTATCAGCGGCCAGCCCGGTATCAGCTATAGTACTTATCAGCGGCCATGCCCGGTATCAACTATAAAAAATTTACTTATCAGCGGCCATGCTGGAATCAACTATGGTACTTATCAGCGGCCATGCTGGAATCAACTATGGTACTTATCAGGGGCACACTGGTATCAACTATGGTACTTATCAGCGGCCATGCTGGTATCAACTATGGTACTTATCAGCGGCCATGCTGGTATCAACTATGGTACTTATCAGCGGCCATGCTGGTATCAACTATGGTACTTATCAGGGGCCATGCTGGTATCAACTATGGTACTTATCAGGGGCCACGCTGGAATCAACTATGGTACTTATCAGGGGGCCACACTGGTATCAACTATGGTACTTATCAGCGGCCACACTGGTATCAACTATGGTACTTATCGGCGGCCATGCTGGAATCAACTATGGTACTTATCAGGGGCCACACTGGTATCAACTATGGTACTTATCAGCGGCCACACTGGTATCAACTATGGTACTTATCAGGGTCCACACTGGTATCAACTATGGTACTTATCAGGGGCCACACTGGTATCAACTATGGTACTTATCAGCGGCCACACTGGTATCAACTATGGTACTTATCGGGGGCCACACTGGTATCAACTATGGTACTTATCAGGGGCCACACTGGTATCAACTATGGTACTTATCAGGGGCCACACTGGTATCAACTATGGTACTTATCAGGGGCCACACTGGTATCAACTATGGTACTTATCAGGGGCCACACTGGTATCAACTATGGTACTTATCGGGGGCCACACTGGTATCAACTATGGTACTTATCGGGGGCCACACTGGTATCAACTATGGTACTTATCAGGGGGCCACACTGGAATCAACTATGGTACTTATCGGGGGCCACACTGGTATCAACTATGGTACTTATCAGCGGCCATGCCGGTATCAACTATGGTACTTATCAGCGGCCATGCCGGTATCAACTATGGTACTTATCAGCGGCCATGCTGGAATCAACTATGGTACTTATCAGCGGCCATGCTGGAATCAACTATGGTACTTATCAGGGCCATGCTGGAATCAACTATGGTACTTATCGGGGGCCACACTGGTATCAACTATGGTACTTATCAGGGGGCCACACTGGTATCAACTATGGTACTTATCAGGGGCCACACTGGAATCAACTATGAAAGGTATTTGCGCACTTTATCAGGGGCCACACTGGTATCAACTATGGTACTTATCAGGGGCCACACTGGTATCAACTATGGTACTTATCAGGGGCCACACTGGTATCAACTATGGTACTTATCGGGGGCCACACTGGTATCAACTATGGTACTTATCGGGGGCCACACTGGTATCAACTATGGTACTTATCGGGGGCCACACTGGTATCAACTATGGTACTTATCAGCGGCCATGCTGGAATCAACTATGGTACTTATCAGCGGCCATGCTGGAATGAACTATGGTACTTATCAGGGCCATGCTGGAATCAACTATGGTACTTATCGGGGGCCACACTGGTATCAACTATGGTACTTATCAGGGGGCCACACTGGTATCAACTATGGTACTTATCAGGGGCCACACTGGAATCAACTATGGTACTTATCAGGGGGCCACACTGGAATCAACTATGGTACTTATCAGGGGCCACACTGGTATCAACTATGGTACTTATCGGGGGCCACACTGGTATCAACTATGGTACTTATCGGGGGCCACACTGGTATCAACTATGGTACTTATCGGGGGCCATGCTGGAATCAACTATGGTACTTATCGGGGGCCACACTGGTATCAGCTATGGTACTTATCAGCGGCCATGCTGGTATCAACTATGTTACTTATCAGGGGCCACACTGGTATCAACTATGGTACTTATCAGGGGCCACACTGGTATCAACTATGGTACTTATCAGCGGCCATGCTGGTATCAACTATGGTACTTATCAGGGGCCATGCTGGAATCAACTATGGTACTTATCAGGGGCACACTGGTATCAACTATGTTACTTATCAGGGGCCACGCTGGTATCAACTATGGTACTTATCAGGGGCCATGCTGGTATCAACTATGGTACTTATCGGGGGCCACACTGGTATCAACTATGGTACTTATCAGGGGCCACACTGGTATCAACTATGGTACTTATCAGGGTCCACACTGGTATCAACTATGGTACTTATCAGCGGCCATGCTGGTATCAACTATGGTACTTATCAGGGGCCATGCTGGTATCAACTATGGTACTTATCAGGGGCACACTGGTATCAACTATGTTACTTATCAGGGGCCACGCTGGTATCAACTATGGTACTTATCAGGGGCCATGCTGGTATCAACTATGGTACTTATCGGGTGCCACACTGGTATCAACTATGGTACTTATCAGGGGCCACACTGGTATCAACTATGGTACTTATCAGGGTCCACACTGGTATCAACTATGGTACTTATCAGGGTCCACACTGGTATCAACTATGGTACTTATCAGCGGCCACGCTGGTATCAACTATGGTACTTATCGGGGGCCACACTGGTATCAACTATGGTACTTATCAGCGGCCATGCTGGTATCAACTATGGTACTTATCAGGGTCCACACTGGTATCAACTATGGTACTTATCAGCGGCCATGCTGGTATCAACTATGGTACTTATCAGGGGCCACGCTGGTATCAACTATGGTACTTATCAGCGGCCATGCTGGTATCAACTATGGTACTTATCAGCGGCCATGCTGGTATCAACTATGGTACTTATCAGGGTCCACACTGGTATCAACTATGGTACTTATCAGCGGCCATGCTGGTATCAACTATGGTACTTATCAGGGGCCACGCTGGTATCAACTATGTTACTTATCAGGGGCCACGCTGGTATCAACTATGGTACTTATCAGCAGCCACACTGGCAATGAGGACAGGGAGACCAAATTACCACCAGGAAGGACCCTCTAATTGGAAAACTTTGAGCCAGCATTCTTACATCACTCTCACTTATAGTAAAGTAAAATAAAGATAAAAGCGGTATAAAAATAATGTTTGCTGTTTTTAGACACATAATAATAAAGCTGAAGTCTAGCAGCTGGTGTGTGCCATGATTGGGAAATCAGACAATCGATAAACACCAGCCCATCAGGAGCCACGCTGGCCAGGGACAAACACCAGCCTATCAGGAGCCACGCTGGCCAGGGACAAACACCAGCCTATCAGGAGCCACGTTGGCCAGGGACAAACACCAGCCTATCAGGAGCCACGCTGGCCAGGGATAAATACCAGCCTATCAGGAGCCATGCTGGCCTAGATAAATACCAGCCTATCAGGAGCCACACTGGCCAGGGATAAACACCAGCCCATCAGGAGCCACACTGGCCAGGGATAAATACCAGCCTATCAGGAGCCATGCTGGCCTAGATAAATACCAGCCTATCAGGAGCCACACTGGCCTAGAACAAACACCAGCCTATCAGGAGCCACACTGGCCTAGAACAAACACCAGCCTATCAGGAGCCACGCTGGCCAGGGATAAATACCAGCCTATCAGGAGCCACGCTGGCCTGGATAAATACCAGCCTATCAGGAGCCATGCTGGCCTAGATAAATACCAGCCTATCAGGAGCCACGCTGGCCAGGGATAAATACCAGCCTATCAGGAGCCACGCTGGCCTAGAACAAACACCAGCCTATCAGGAGCCATTTAATAATGCTTTCTTATAAGGAGGTCTAAAGCACGCGCGAGGCCATTGCTGCGCATGCGCATTAGGTATCCCCCGCCGACGTCAGCCAGGAGGAGCGTGTGCGGAGCTTGACCCGGCACCGAGGGACATCAGCGCTGGATTCAGGTAAGTGGCTGAAGGGGTTTTAATCCCTTAAGCTCCGCGTGAGGTGGGCCCCGAGGGAGGGCTGGTTTGTTTTCCTTGCACTATAGGATCCCTTTAACCATAAAGCGACCCTATACATCCACCTAGGGCCCCGGATAGACATGGACCCCAGAAACATTAATTTGTTTGGCCCTATTAACCATCCCCAAAGCTTCTTATGTGTCTATTCCCTCTCCTTTATTTTTCCATTTCTCTTTCCCTTGATCTTATGTTTCTTTTCCTGTTTCATCAACCCCTTTCTCTTTTTTATAATATGGTCCCTTCATTTTTCCCATCTTCATACTCACTAAAGAATAACTAAAGAAAGGAAACATATCTAATCAGTGCACCTGATGATGTATCAACCAGAAGAAAAGTCAACTCCAGCCAACCCATTCCTAGATGTTTGGTTAGATACCCAGAAAGACTATGGGTTCTTCAGAGGATCAACGAGGAAGACCAGAAATGCATTGATTGCCAGAAAGATAAAGACACTTCTCAGATCCCTTTCTTTGGCAATAGAATTACTCTGAGAGACCCAGTTTCATCTAAGGGTTTCTCAATAAGCATTCCTCAGGGAATAATGGGAGGGTTATATGGTGAGATATGTTGAGGGACGAGTAAGGGATTCCTCTCTACCTCTGTGGGCTGGCGCTTCATTACCTCAGATGCCAACAGCCTCAGTTAAGGAGCTCTATTCGACAGTCTTCATGCCCAATCCCTTAAATCATATTCCATTGAACACTTTGGAATCTAGAGGGATCTTGCAAGCCCTCCTTCACTTTGAACAATTGCAACATTAGATGATTGGCTTGCTAATAGCAAACAGGACTGCAGAGTCTTACATCAGCCACCGTGGGAAGGGCCAAAACTCATCGTCCTCTTCATGAGATCCCTTCCGTTACGTCACGTCAGCAGTGGTTCTCTTTGGGCCTTTGGCCATTTACCTCGCTGGAAGGACAATACATGATAGATTTTCCTAACATGTTTCAAGATGAAATGACCGTTATATCAATTATCTTTTTTATTTATACAGTGCACACAGTGGGCAGTCAGAACACAGTTTTATAATGATTACAGTTTTTAAAAGAAATCTGTGTCTGCCAGTAAGATCTGAAGAATGCAGTTTGCATAAAGTCTGTAAAAAAATATTTTTTTGATTTGCCTGTGATGGACGTAGAATCACTGGCGGATCCAGGGGGGGGGCAACGGGGCAATTGCCCCCCCCCGAGAAATCCGCCGGTCTCCCTCTCCCCTGCCAGCAGCACCTGCATGTGCTAGCCCTGCAATGTGCCTGCGGACCGGAGGTTCACCTCACCACCACTGGGACCACCAGGGAATCACCACTGGGACCACCAGGGAATCACCACTGGGACCACCAGGGAATCACCACTGGGACCACCAGGGAATCACCACTGGGACCACCAGGGATCGAAATATGTCCCCCCTCCTCCTAAATAAAGGAGGGAGGGGGGACATAGAATATTTGCTTTTTTTAATTAAATAAAGATATATATTATTTTAAAAAGCCCCCCCTACCCTTAACACACACACACACATAGCCCCCATGCTGCCCCCCCATACACACATACTGCCCCCCATGCTGCCCCCCCCATACAC